AGGGCATTTGACACCATCAAACGGTCAAAAGTCCTAGATGTACTGGACCAGGCAGGATGTAATGAAGACGAGCTGCGTCTCGTGAGACTGCTTTTGGCAGGCACCAAGCTGCAAGTCCGTGTCGGATTAACTTACTCAGCTGACTTCGAAACAACAATAGGGTCCCCACAAGGTGACAGTCTTTCCCCCGTACTGTTCACCTGCTACTTAGCATCTGCACTTTCCACAGTCAGGAGGTACTCTACAAGACCCAACCCTCCAATATCACCACTTGGCTTGCCATTGGAAATGGAATATGCAGACGATGTCGATTTTATCGACGAGGAAAGAGACACGTTAGAAGGACTACTGCCGGTAGCTGCTAACAATCTGAGAGACTCACATCTATTCATGAATGAAGCCAAGACAGAATTTACCCATGTTTACTTGGCAGACACACTGGAAAAAGATGAGAATGAACAACCACTCCGTGGCAACGAGGAATGGAGAAAGAGTAAAATCCTAGGCTCCCTCCTCTGTAGCTCATCTGACATAGCAGCACGGTGCACCATGGGCAACATAGCGTTTAAGTCCCTCTGGAAAATATGGATTCGACGATCAAAAATTCCATTAAAAAAGAAGCTGCAACTGTACAATGCCACCTGCGTGTCAATCATGCTCTACAACTGCAACAGTTGGGCAGCACCACAGACAGCAATAGACAAGCTAGATGCCTGCCACCGGAAACATCTAAGAACAATCACAGGACATCGATGGCCAAACAGTCTAATCTCAAACAAAGCACTGTACAAACTGTGCAATACAGGCCCGTTGTCAACTAAAGTGAAATGTGCCAGATGGACCATGTTCGGACACATTCTAAGAATGCCGACAGATACACCTGCACAGCAAGCCTTGACCTTCGCCCTGGTAGGATCTAATTCTTACAGACCCAGAAAGGGAAGGCACTGCAGTAACCTACTAAGTCTGCTGAGGGCAGACCTCAAGGAAAGAGGACTAGGACCATTGCGGTCAGAAAGAAAACTCCAGGAGCTCAGGAGGCTCACGATGAACAGGACAAAGTGGAGAGAGCTGAAGAAAGACTGATTGATGCTGCAGGATGCAGAGCTACTGCAGCAGCAGAATACAGAGGAACTGATGGAGAAAGAGAAGTCCGTATATTTACCTCCCTATATACATATATATGGAGAAAGAGAAGTCCGTATATTTACCTCCCTATATACATATATATGGAGAAAGAGCAGTCCATATATTTACCTCCCTATATACATGTACATGTATATGGAGAAAGAGAAGTCCGTATATTTACCTCCCTATATACATATACATGTATATGGAGAAAGAGAAGTCCGTATATTTACCTCCCTATATACATATATATGGAGAAAGAGAAGTCCGTATATTTACCTCCCTATATACATATATATGGAGAAAGAGAAGTCCGTATATTTACCTCCCTATATACATATATATGGAGAAAGAGCAGTCCATATATTTACCTCCCTATATACATGTATATGGAGAAAGAGAAGTCCGTATATTTACCTCCCTATATACATATATATGGAGAAAGAGAAGTCCGTATATTTACCTCCCTATATACATATATATGGAGAAAGAGAAGTCCGTATATTTACCTCCCTATATACATGTATATGGAGAAAGAGAAGTCCGTATATTTACCTCCCTATATACATGTATATGGAGAAAGAGAAGTCCGTATATTTACCTCCCTATATACATATATATGGAGAAAGAGAAGTCCATATATTTACCTCCCTATATACATGTATATGGAGAAAGAGAAGTCCGTATATTTACCTCCCTATATACATATATATGGAGAAAGAGAAGTCCGTATATTTACCTCTCTGACTGTCAGGAACTTAGTAATGGCCTCATCCTGGCCTAGGGTTGGGTGGGTCACTACCAGCTGTAAGTACCTGCAACACAACATTATCCTTCATTCGTTCATTCGTTCGTTCATTCATTCATTCATTCATTCTAGTAGTATAAGAGTGGATTTATTTGTCAAGCTAATGGACATCTAGCACATCGCAGTGTGACGGGCTGAATAAAAGCCCTTAACAGGAACTATATAACATATATATATATATGTATACATGTATGGTTACTGAGGGAGGACAGTGCTGTGCTACATACATGCCACACAACAGTCAGCACCACAGCACCATTTGCAGCAGGAAACTACAAATGTAACTTATTATATAAAGAATTGCCTTTAACAAATACAACCATCTGAGTTCAGGATAGATGCATGAGACTCACTTCTCCAGACTTCTGCAGTCCTTCTCAAACTCATCCCCGACCACCAGCTTAATGTCATTCCCTGCACAGAACAGAATTCACATGGAGGGAACAGGTGTTACTTTGTGTACGTACATTGTTGTAGATAAAGGTTAGACATCCAGGTAATGAGATACAGTCAAAAGGAACTGTTACTCAAGCAGCCGGATAGACATTGACACTGTCAAATCAAATGTTTCAAGTAGCATCCACTACTTTTGGTCAGTACCGGGTAAGTATTGCTTTGTGTTCTAACAAAGTGATAATATCCCATGATTTACTCAGAAATGATGCACACTGTACATGTACGTTAACAAATGCTTCCATCTTTTTACATTTAGAAATACATAAAGTTTTGGGACGAAGAAATAGTAACATGCAGTGCTACAATGTAGCAGCACCAATGTCACGAACTTGCACTAATTAGAGTAAAAAGCACTAGTTACAGTAAAAACGCTACATTGAAAGCAGAACTCTCTCTGTCAACAAGAGGTTAAAGGCAGATTAAAGCCGAGGCCACATATTTATTCAGCCTTAACCTGACTGTTGAACTTGCCGGACTCCAGGGTGAAGTCTAAAAACAAACCATCCATCAGCTGACTTCAAAGGCAGATTTTCCCGCCTTCACTGACTGACTACTTCTGTCATTAGTGATGATTATGTACAATAGTCATGTACATGTACAGAGTATTCACTGCTTCCAATAGTGTCTGTGTGTGTGTGTGTGTGTGTGTGCGTGTGTGTGTGTGTGTGTGTGTGTATGTGTATGTATATGTGTATGTATATGTGTTCGTGTATGTGTGTGTTCATGTATGTGTGTGCTTGTGCATACATGTATGTGTGTGTTTGTTGTATGTTTGTGTGTCCCTGTTTGTGTACTGATGGGTGGATGCGAGTTCGTATGAAGATGATACAAGCTTGTGTTGAAGCTGGCCAGTGCTTTGTAGTGTTGCCTGTATGTTGTACATGTACATGTGTTGCCTGTACAAATGTATGTTGAACTCCATAGGAGGGTCAGTAAACCTAACCAGCATTCTTCTCCACCAGGGCAGAACCCCCCCCCCCATCCCCTGCGTTTATGCTTCCTGTTAGGCACAACAGGCAGCGTTCGGAGCTATTGAGCGTCACTTGAGCGTTACCGAGCGAGACGGTTCATGTACAGCGCAGAATGACGGAAAACCTTCGCTACACGCCGCTGTCAAACATAAACAGTTCTCACCGGGATCAAACAAGACCAAACAAACCACTTTGTACCATAGCCAACAGTTCTGCTGCTTTCACCCTGACACGAACCAGGTACAACACAAAGTCCTGACAGTGTAACTCTTGAACATGATACCTTCTCTACAGGAACGTACCACAAACACAACAGGTGGTCCAGCTCTTAAATCATAACTGACATCATCACAGAATAACTTCTGCCTATTTGCATACCATGAAAAGGTAATAGGTGAACATGTACAGACGAGACTTCATGCAAGTCAACATTGATCAAAGCTTGAGTGCCCACAAAAGAAATTGTTATCGGAAAACATCACCCCACAGTGATGGCATGCTGGCAAATATAGAATATGGCAGGACAGAATTCAGCACAGACAAACACAAAGCAGCAGAAACAACAGGCAACCAAAACAACAACTTTGGGGATGACAGAGAAACAAGAAAGAACTGCTCAATACATTTCAGAGATCAAAAAGGCAAAAATGACAGAATGACAGATAACACGATATGGTAAACAGAAAAAAAAATTCCTGAAGGCCAAAATGAACCAAGCAAAAAAAATGCAAGACGAAAAACAAGTTGGTAGACTACTTCATGTAGAGTGTTGCTGAACCCTTATGACAATTTGTGCTAAATCATTGAAATATCAAAATCTAATTGAAAATCTTCAATCTACTTCCTACAAAAGTTTAATCAGATTGTCGTTAGTATTTTCCAAATTAAACAGTGATGAACAATTTGAAACCTGGGATTGAAATCAAAGGCCCACCAAAAAATCTATGTTTCAAGTTTCTGAATATTATACAATCTGTGTATAATTGAGGCTTACATCCTGGTTTGTAAGAGGAAGAGAAGACAGAGCAACATGACAAAGGTGCATCACAACACGTCAAACCCAGTGTTCCAGCCAGCATCCCTATTTCCCTACTTGGACACAAATTTGCCGATCGTCGCTGACAAAAATTTTGCCCAATCCGTCATCTTTGATGGCCAAAATCAGCATGCAAAGAGATGGAAAAAGATGTCATTCAAGCTTATTCTACCGGCAACATTTGCACCTCAAAATGCTGGAAGTAGTGTTTCAGTAGGTCAAGATTTCAAATTTTCCAGGGGGGAGCCCCTGAAAAATTTTATCCTGGCTGGAACACTGATGAAACCCAAGCAGAACCACCCCTGGTCAATTATTACCATTAATTTACCTTCATCATCGTCTGATCCGTGTCTTTTCTTGTTGCCTTAGGAGGAAGTGAGAGTCAGGATTAGACAGGGACGATTTATCGATTAACCTTCCAACAGCTGAAATCATTTTACTTTGATAACAGAGTCAGCAGTCGGATTTTGCTAGCAATCGAGGATTAGATTGTAAAAATCATCTATGTTAGGACTATGTTATAGGAGGAGACATGTTATATTGTCATCAGTTTGAACACAGCAAGCCACAGTCACACTGCAATCCAGAACAGGCAGAAGGAAAGAGCAACACACACGGAGAGGAAACATGACATTGTACAGTGTAAGTCCAACGTTAGACAGAAAACACAAAACGCAAAAGAGTTGACAGACACACAAACACGGTTAGGATGTGACATACTCAACTGTTTGTTTCTAGACCCTGTCAGGATACCAACAGGGCATTGACTGAAACTTGAATGTCAGGTTATCAAACGTTATCTAAAAGAGAACTAAATCTACCATTATAGATAGGTGCGGCTCTGTGCATGTTAGCATGGTTATGTTTGAGCAGACATGTTCTTACCCAGCTGCTTTTTTGACCTGGCCTCGGCACTCTGAGCAGTTGTCGAGGGTTTAGGAGGCAGTGGAGGGACCTGTGGGGTAACGTACAGTTGCATGCAAAATTATTCAACCCCTCTTGTATTTTGGGGAATTTTGCCAAAATAAGGAAAATTACAACTGTAGAACATGCCTAACTCATGTAAGTGATTAACAGATAGTTTATTTCAATTTAATATCAGAGAAAAAGTCAATATTATTTCATAGTTCATCTGAAATGACAACTTTAACACAAAAAGCAGGTGGCAAAATTATTCAACCCCTATACAACTCATCAGCTAGGGTTGATTATGGAGAATCACAACTAACATGCCACGTCCAAAAACACTAGTAATGCAATGAGGGAAGATGTGCATGTCCATAATATTTGTATTATCCTGTAATTTCCCACCAAATGTGTAGTATTACACACTTTGTGTCAATACTGCTCACATGCCTCTTGTTGTAAGCAAGAGAGTTGTCCCAGAGGTTTAAATAGGATATGGTAGCATTACACAATAAAGGAAATAGATATAAGAGGATATCCAAGCTCTTTAATATACCCAGAGACACAATTGGGAGCATTATTTGCAAGTTCAAGGCATCTGGTACTGTGGCAACACAGGGAGGTCATGGACGAAAGAAGAATATTTCATCAGCTACAGCAAGATTCCTGAGAAAACAGGTGGACAAAACCTCCAGGCTTACTGCAAAGGACCTGAGACACAACTTGGCTGGAGGAGGAAGTGATGTTTAAGGCGGTACAGCACGCTGCACACTTCATGCTGAAGGGTTCAATACCAGAACCCCAAGACGCACACCGCTGCTGAAGCCAAGCCACAAGAAAAGTTGCTTCCAGTATGCTGAACCCAGTCTGTCAAACCCACAGAACTTTTGGGACACTGTCCTATGGACTGATGAAGCAAAACTTGAGTTCTTTGGTCCTGTGGATCAGAGGTTTGTTTTGCACAGGAGGATCCAGGCATACGCAGAGAAGAACACCCTGCCTACTGTGAAGCATGGCGGTGGGTCTGTGATGCTGTGGGGGTGTTTTGCTTCTAATGGTACTGGGGAAACTCCACCATGTTGACGGCATCATGGATTCAACCAAGTATCAGGATATTCTGGCCAAGAAAGTCACAAAGTCCTTGAAGAAGTTGAAGCTGGGGCGTCATTGGACATTACAGCAAGTCAACGACCCCAAGCACACATCGAAATTCATGAAGGCTTGGTTGGAGAAGAAAGGCTGGAAGGTCCTGGAGTGGCCATTGCAGTCTCCTGACTTAAACCCAATTGAGAATCTGTGGTGAGACCTGACGAAAGCTGCTGCAGCAGGAAGACCTAAGAACATTGCTGAGATGGAGGTATTCACCAACAAGGAATTGGCCGAAATCCCTTAATAGCACTGCCAGAATATCATGACAAGCTATCGTTCCCGTCTGCAACAGGCCATTGCAGTTACAGGGGTGCTGCACAAATTTCTAGAGGAATCCTCGTAGGGGGTTGAATAATTTTGCCACCTGCTTTTTGTGTTAAAGTTGCCATTTCAGATGAACTATGAAATAATATTGACTTTTTCCCTGATATAAAATTGTAATAAACTATCTGTTAATCACTTACATGAGTTAGGGATGTTCTACAGTTGTAATTTTCCTTATTTTGGCAAAATTCCCCAAAATACAAGAGGGGTTGAATAATTTTGCATGCAACTGTAGGTGCATTAGTATACAATTCTACATGTACACAGGCTAATGCATATCGATCACCCGTCTATATACAATACATGGTCTAATGCATATCACCCGTCTATATACAATACTACACAGTCTAATGCATATCACCCAAGGTGCCAGCCCAACTGCAGGTCGGATTGTCCAAAACTCTGAGGAAGGTCCAACTCGTGGGATGGCTGGAACCAAGGGTCATGTGCCATACATTGGGTTATATTTTATTGATGTCATACCAAACCAAGAAAAGTACATAAAAGAAAATTGACTTTTGAGTTTTCCATCCTAAAATGGCATTGGATGTCTTTAAGAGAAAACTGAATTGTTTTTAGTGAAATGATGACGAAAATCTGCCAAGAAGTGGCAGTAAGTGTTGATATCAGACAGATTTTGTCATCCAGAATATTTTTGTTCTGTTTGCCGTTGGGTGGCTTAACTTTAGAGCGAGACTTACGATGATCCCTCCGATGTCATTCTCCGTGACAAGGCAAATGGCAGCTCCATCCACTACCGTACTACCCTGTTCCTAACTACAGTATCCAAAAAATAGAATATGTTTTGTTTTGCTGTCCTGAAATTGTGTTGAACTTACGATGATCCCTCCGATGTCGTTCTGCGTGACGAGGCAGTGCTCCAGCCACTCAAAATCCTCGTACTGTCTCACCACCTTGTACTCCTCTCCACCTGACTTCTGCACAAACACAAACACACAAACATGTCATCAGTACTAGTCAGGACATTAACCTGCAGAAAACACACAAACATGTCACAAAATCCTCGTACTGTCGAACCACCTTGTACTCCTCACCGCCTGTCTTCTGCACAAACACAAACACACAAACATGTCAGTACTAGTCAGGACATTAACCTGCAGAAAACACACAAACATGTCACAAAATCCTCGTACTGTCGAACCACCTTGTACTCCTCACATCCTGTCTTCTGCACAAACACAAACACACAAACACAAACATGTCAGTCAGGAAGCAACGCTGCAGAAAAACAGGACAACAAACACATGCCAGTCAGGGAAGAACTAAAACTAACCTCTACAATATTTTTATCATGAAATATGCAAGTGAAAATCTAGGTCTTTAAACTTTTATTGCATCCTGCATGTTGGTAGTCCTCCGCAATTGAAGATCACTTTTAGTGACAGCAGCCTTATTCAGAGGTGTGACCTCACATGACCCCAGGTGGCTTCTGAGTCCAAAACTTGGCACACACTCTGCACATTATAATTACAACGGACTGAAACCAAATGGGTGAGTCATAATCCACCACTTCTGAAGTAGGGCTGTCCTCAGGTACATGAAATGTACATGTGCACACGTGAGATCTGTTTGTTACTGCATTGTGTGCTTTTGTTGTCACCTACAACAGGACTGCAAATACTGTAAACAGCCCAGTAAAAACACCCATCTTGGGTGGCCGACATTTATCCAACTCACTCTTACAAAATGTACCTTTAACAATTAGTAAATGGTTTATTGATAAAACACAGAGCAAATCAGCCTTGCAGTAAAAACTGAAACACTCCAAAATTAACTATAAACTTCTATTAAACCAACACACATTATCTTATTATGATCATTATCTTCAGTACAAGTCATGTCTAGTACAATTTAGTTATAATAAAGTTTACAGGGAAAAATGTTAACAATTACAGCTCAAAATGAGTAACTGTCATGTCTTTACTTCTGTATCAGCGAGCTGCCGTGTTTGATTTTCTTTCCTTCAGCTGAGTTTCCCCAGACCCAGAGATGCATGACTGGTTGGTCCATGTTAATAGTGACATGCCCAGAGAAGACTGCATGGTGTTGGTCTGTGTTACTAGTGACATGCCCAGAGAAGTTGGTCTGTGTTACTAGTGACATGCCCAGGGAAGTTGGTCTGTGTTACTAGTGACATGCCCAGGGAAGTTGGTCTGTGTTACTAGTGACAGGACCAGAGAAGTTGGTCTGTGTTACTAGTGACAGGACCAGAGAAGTTGGTCTGTGTTACTCTGAGCCAAGCTGACATGTTTTTCTCCTGTTTGCTGCATGTCGGGTACAGGATGGCTCCCTCAGGGCCGATAACACTCATTCTCATCTCTTCTGCACTTACAGTAAATTATGCACAGTTTTAAAATTATGTTTTAGTGCCTAATAAATCCACCTAATGTATTAAAGAAGTGTCCATGACACATACTTACATTATTCCATAGATGTAATAATTGATGATGATGGTTTATTCAGTACTCACATAATCTGACAATGGCAGTCAACTGGCAGGTGTCAGAGTCAGACTTTACAAAAACATTAAAGCAGGTAAAATCTTAACATATTTTAAAAATTAAAAAAAAGGTCAAAAATTAAATGTACAGCATGTTTAAACACACAGTATTTTACATGTAAGGCATAAGGCGCATCAGACAAAAAGGCATAAAAATGCATGTAATTTGCATGTAGAAAGTTGCTGCACACAATAAGAAACAGATTCTAGACAAATCACACTGGGGAAATTTTCCCTGACATTTGCAAATGCCTGACTGTAGACTGTGTAATGTCACCCTGACATGTTGGTTCAGTCTGAACTTTCCACAAATAATCACTGACAAACAAGCTACAACAATGCATCAATAATACTCATTTATAATAACCACTTCCCAGCTTATTTCAAGGCCCAAGTCTTAAAGATTTACTTTGTAGCTACTTTCAACATGACAAGAATAAGTACTTGTAGTGCTCAACCCATCCTTTCCATTCTCTGCCATTCAGCATGAAGCAGTACCCTGGCATTTGGTTATTTGGTGTTTACATGTGGCTTCTTGGAATTTAGGTCAGTGTAAATAATAAGTTCTGACTGGACATGAAAACATACTCCAGAACAATTGACATATAGATAGGAGAATAACAGTCCTAAAAAGCCTTTCAATGGATACACAATGCTCCTACTGTCACACAGACCCCCACACCCCCTGGGGTCTATGTTGACAAGTGCACGAGGCATATAAACAGCAGCACCTTCAGAGTGAGTTACTTTTGAACCGAGGGCTGCTGCATCAAGAGGTGGTCTGGTCTGGCTTCAACAAGGCTGCTGTACTGCAGGTAGTACATGTGAGTACATCTCAAGTCTTTGTTATGGGGTACAAAATGTAGGATGAGCTTTACATGATGATGATGATACATCATACATTTGATGATGATGTATGATGATTGTCATGTATATGTAAGAGTTAGTGAAACACAGAGGGACAGGTAGCCCCATCCATGGTCTAGAGCGTTGGACTGTAACAGAAAACAGCACTGTGTAGTACGTGCGCTGACTCATTACGGTTTTGTCTACGGTCAACTCAGATCCACAGAAATCACTTCCTTTGAACCCCTGACGCACGCCGCTGCTTTTGCTACAATTCTATTAAACATATCAACACCAAAACACTGGCGCTGGCTTTGGCTGGTAGAGTGTCCTTGCTCTTAAACATGTCTGACAACACCAAAACACTAAACCCCTTACGCCACTGGCTTTGCCTGTTTCTCTTAAACATCAACACCAAACACAGCGGCCACCGGTGTCCTTGTTTCCAGCCCCACTACAAAGCCCTGCACCCTGGCTGTGGACTGTGGACGTGTTCTTTGATATGCGTGTAAAGAGTTTGTACCAACATCGCGACCTGTTTTGTATCCAAACATGAAGGGAAGCGGCCAAACAGTTTACATGTTTCTGGTCAGCAAGCGTTTTCAATGGTCCATTAACTACTGATGCACTGTAGAAACAGGGCGTCACATTCAGCTGAAGTTAACACAGAATAAGACAGTATCCCTGGTACTGATAGCCTGAACATGATACTTCCTTCGGCTGGGGAAGCCACAAGCCCCAATTCCAGAGTTGGCTCCCAGGTCTGAGGGTGTCTATTGTAAATTTTATTGGAGACAGAAATTATCCCTGGAGCCGAGGAGCTAGCCTGTATACTAGCCCTGCAACAGTCTGGCACCCAGGCTAGCCCTGGAGCTAAGGAGCTAGCCTGTATACTGGTCCTGGCAACAGTCTGGCACCCAGGCTAGCCCTGGAGCCAAGCCTGCCTAAATACTGGCCAGTGGCAACAGTCTGACACCCAGGCTACAAGCATATACATTGTGGTGTACATCCATGGACACTGGTCCCACCAAGCAGCCCAAATCAGGAAACCAGGTCCCAGTAAACCCCTCCAATCCCTCTAACTACTGGGCTGAACACACACAAAGCCTGACCATGTAGCTGTTTGGGTTGGCCCGCTGTACATTTTAAGGTCTGCTGGTTCCTGACAATGACACCACAGGCCTGCGGATTCCCAGTTTGAAGAGGATACAAAGATCCGCTGCTCTGCTATGTAAACTGCAGCAGCCTTCTTTTTACAATCATCACACAGATAAAAGCACCTTTTCAGTGGTTCCATTTTAACAACCTTAGATAGAGACATTATTGTTACATTTCATCTTACTTTCAAAAAAGGAGATGCTGTATTTTGTTACAGAATAGCAAAAATAATTTTTAGACGATCACAATCATCAGACACATATACAAACATTATTGTAACATTTAATCTTACTATAAAAAGAGAGGAGACATTGTGAATTTAAAAAGAGACATTGTAATAGCTTACATTAAACAGGCTAAGCAAGGAGAAAGTTTATAGTATGTCCATGAAACCGTCATACATAATTCAGGATTGTCAGGAAAGGACACAAGTACTTATACTGCTCAGGGCTGAGTTCAACTGGAGGTTCCTACAGATTTGCATTACCTACCACAGGCACTGCCCCAGGGCACAACTGATATGTACACTGGAAAACACGCGTCTTAGCCTTGCTGCCAGGCCCTGCCGAGGGCCTTATTACCTACCACAGGCACCGCCTCAGGGCACAACTGATATGTACACTGGAAAATACATGTCTGTTAGCCTGGCTGCCAGGCCCTGGTGAGGCCTTGCTGCCGGTGTCTTTCCAAAAATCATGATTTCCTGGCAGAACGCACAGTCACCTGCAAACCTAAATCTGCAGTGATCAGTGTACAAAGGGTTTGTGTGGGTAGTTTCCCCAGCGGAGGTCAAGTGTATCGGGGGACCCACCCAGGAAGGGGAAGTGGGGTATCGGGTGTCGCCCCAGACCTCAGGTTCAAGGTGAGGAAGTGTCAGGGAGTGGAAACAGCAACACACAGAACTGCAGGGACCCAAACACTGGGTATAACTGCAGAAACAGTAACACATAGAACTGCAGGGACCCAAACACTGGGTATAACTGCAGAACCAGTAACACATACAACTGCAGGGACCCAAACACTGGGTATAACTGCAGAACCAGTAGCAATTGTTCAGCAGCCTGACATCAAAATACTGGATATGACTGTATGCAGGTAAAACTGCATACTTTAGGTGTATTGCGGATTTTAATTTGCTGCATTTACTGTTACTACTTAATAGTATAAAAAAAGTAATGGCAATGGTTTCTGAACAGTTTTTAGTATGATTCATACATCTCAAAGTCTATGTACAGGTAACATTTGTAACATTTGTCTGCAGGTAATTTTCACCAGTGATTGCAGGTATGGAGAAAAAAAAGTATTCTTTGGTCTCCTTGTATTACATAATTATTCTCATCAATTAGTAATAAATCAGTAATTATCCATAAGCATTATAACCAAAGTCTGAGTGGTCCCTGGCACATGCAGGTAAAATTTGACCAGTGCAGGTAAGAAGTATTTCTAGCCCTGCACAACAGAAGTACTTAAAACCAGCCCTGTGTGTAAGGATCAGACATTTCCAGCCCTGCACATGTACATGTAATGTATAACGTTATATAACAGCCCTCTGTGTAAGGATCAGACCTGACAGGGAATAATAATGGCGTCTGTCAGGAGTCAGGACAGGAACAATCCATCCTGAACACAGATGGTTTCCATCACCAGCCCTGGACTAGCACAGTACATTGTACATGTACCAGCCAGGAAGGCTATTTGCCGGCAGTGCTGGAGGTTGGAGCCTTGAGGGTTACATTAAAACAAGAATCTGATTTGGAATCCATCAAGGATAGATGGAGAATCAGTCTTTCATTGCTTATCCATCACATTGGTCAGTTGGCATCGAGCACATTTAAACCTGCTATTTTTCACTATGGATAAGATGTTGATGATTTTGACAGTTGCATATTCAGACAACAAATCAATAAAACAAGATCAGAAACAGTTGCTGGGCAACCTCAGGTACTTGAAATGTCTGACAATTTTAAAAATCTATCCAGTACTGTAGCCATTTCCTTGTACATTGACAGTGTGTATATTTCATTACACGCATGTCTTAAACGCATCAACGTATTGGGGAATTCCCTATAATTAGTGATGACACCGGTGACATCATTTCTGGTACTAGTGGTAGTCCTTTTTTGCTTTACTTCTGAGAGAAACATTCTAAGCCCTGGGAATAAATCTCTAGGCCGCAGCCGTGTGGCTGGCAACCTGTATTACTGTAATCCCTTATCCCAGTAATCACAGGCCATTACGTCTGTCCTATAATATAACAGCCTCTGCTACTCGTAATGCTCCAGCCTGAGCTCTGAACTGAGCTGAGAATGATGATGTATGTTGGGTTGTAATCTGGTACATGTAGGTACTGTATGATGGACATTGTGAGCTGAAGTGTTACACCACATGGCAGTAATCCAGGCTATACAGAGTGATGTATGTTGGGTTGTAATCTGGTGCATGTAGGTCAGCAGAGATACAATCTGTCCTTGAGCTCTCTCTCACACACACAGTCACAGTCTGCAGAGGCTTGCACTAAGTTACACTGCAGCAGTATTCTAGCCAGCCTGAATAAAAACTGGCCAATTATAGTCCCCACTAATATTACATGTAAATGACCACAGTGCATTTCCATGTAGGACACACATAATGTGACAATGTCATGACTCCTACAAATGTATGGGCCTGCAAGCCCTTTTTCGTAAGGCGTAATCAGGTCATTTTAGACTTCGTAATCCGTAGGCAGCCTCCGCAAAAATCAAGGTAATTCTTAATTGGACATTAGCCGCAAATCGTAAAGTCGTAATCAGCTCTTAACATAATTCGTAATAGGCGGATAAAATTTTGCATAATTCGTAATCACTACCCCCCCTTGCAGGCCCTCCTATAGTTGGGCACCTGTCCTGTGTGTTCTACTGTAGTCCTGGGGGGTCCAGCTTGATCTAATATTCTGTGGTGCAGAGAGGAGTTAGCAGCTCAGCCCTATGTTAATGGCACCCATCCTTCTGTCCTGGTACATTACAGAACAGATTACCTTCTAACACAACAGGATAGCCTGGAGTTAGGCAGGGCCACTGACATGTGATATAAATAGCACAGATATCTCCTGGCTTCCTTCCAACCTGGGGTTACAGAGTATTTTTTCATCCTCCTGGTTTCAGGGCTGCTTCAGTGCCAAATTATACTCTAAACAGGGGGGTTAACTTTCAGTCTGCTAGGGGTGGCAGTGGGGATAACTGTTAACTTTCAGTCTGCTAGGGATGGCAGTGGGGATAACTGTTAACTTTCAGTCTGCTAGGGATGGCAGTGGGGATAACTGTTAACCCTCAGTCTGCTAGGGATGGCAGTGGGGTTAACTGTTAACTTTCAGTCTGCTAGGGGTGGCAGTGGGGATAACTGTTAACTTTCAGTCTGCTAGGGATGGCAGTGGGGATAACTGTTAACTTTCAGTCTGCTAGGGATGGCAGAGGGGATAACTGTTAACCCTCAGTCTGCTAGGGATGGCAGAGGGGTTAGCTACCAGTACATGTATTAACCTTCAGTCTACTGGGGGTGACAGATGTACAGTTACAAAATGTATTTTCACCTTTAAGTTAGTTACCTGTGTAACATGTGCAACATTAGCCTGGGGTCCAGCCTTGGTAGGTTAAGCATGCTACTACATGCAGTACCCTGCCAACAGGTAGAGGATCTTGGGAGCAGAGTACAAGTAACAAGGCTGGACTCCAGACTAGTCCAACATACAGTCTGTTTGTAAAGAATTCAAACAGCAAAAGAGCAGAAATATGATTCAACTTCTGAACAACCACAGCCAGCTACAATTGTGTATAGCTGCAGCTCCTGTGAATCCAAGCCACAACACAATAATATAACAAAACAAAACAGTTACTCAAGCTACTAGTGGATAGACTTTAGAAAATGTCATATGTTTCAAGTAGCATCCACTACTTTTCGTCAGTCAAAATCTATGCAGTTGCTCAAATAACAGTTTTCTTGTGTATCTCATTACCTGGATGTCTATCCTTCATCTATATGGCCACAACATTTCACAGAAAATCCTGAGAGTTACCGGTAAGTACTGGTAAGTAAAAACTCTCACTTTTGCTGTCTTGAGGGAGTACTTCACCACGTCTCCGTCCTTGGCTGCGTCTGTGACCTTGACCGTGAAGGTCGGTTGGAAGGGTTTGGGGGGTTCCGTTGGCTCCGCCGGGCCGCTGGGTTCCGGCGTGTTCTGGTCGGCTTCAGGAGAGTCCGAGACATCAGCTGTGCCGTTGGTGTTCGTTTCTTCTGTAGCATTGTCCTGAAAAAACAACAATCAGGAATTTTTTATTATTATCATCACCTATTATTGCATAGAACTAGTTTGTTTGGTAGATATCCACAGCACCACCACCACCGTCCACACCAGGGCGAGCACCTCTTGTTTTCCTGAGCAGGATGCCCCTTGCAGGACTTTAACTCAGTTAGTACCGTCAATAAGATAAAAAGATGAAGAAGGAGAACCAGGAATGTAACATCAGCATCTTCTGTAAAATACTGCTCCTTTTACAATCATTGTTAAATATTAAGGTTTTGGTTGCTTAACGTCACCAGTGGGCTAACAGTAGTAGGAACTGCAATTTAGAACTATGTTTAGTTTATCTGATCAACAAATAGATCAACATGTAACTTATATTTATATACATTTGTGTTATAATTTTTCCATTTTACTGACAACATATAGAGTCCAGTTATTAGGCTGTTGAATGTAGAATCTTTATCCTACATCACTAAGTCTGGTATTGGATACAGCAGCAGTCAGCCCTAACAAGTCAAGACACAGGTGTTTTACAGAGATAACACAACAGTAACTTGTGTAAGGCATCCCCACTTAACGCAAATCCCTTGTGTCATTTTCTGATTCTAGCTCTACCCAGTAACTGGTACAAATCACAATATTAAAGCATCTTATCAGGGCCTGTTGAGAACACTTACAGTCTTCCATTGTGAAGGATTACCCAACTATCAGGGCCTGAAGGTTTATTTCAGCTACATAAACATGGTCCAAAAGATACTCAAATCACATGTCAGAAATTTCATTTTCACCCTGAAGAATTTTCTGCACTCTTTTTATGCCACAAGCTATCAATACACATTACCTGTGCTGCAAGCTAACTGACATCCATGAATAGTTTCATCAGGTTGGTAAGTCACTGAATTAAAAGACCCTGAATTGCCCTGAGGAAGGTGACAGTCACCGAAACATTGGCTGAATAAAACACTTAGTTGCGTACAAAAATATTCAAGCTTACAGGCAGTTTTTAATACTTACTACTTGTGCTACAAGGCAACTCTGACAGGCACTTTTCTTCCTGACTTTAGTCACCTCAGCTGTCAGATTTTCCAGTTTCTGTGTTTAACTACGTTATGATGGATGAGAATGGGAGCAGGAAAGTCGGCACTGCTGGGTGGCATTTGCTCTGGTACAGATAAACAACTGGTACTGATTATCAAATAATTATTCATCAAGCCCTAACAAGTAACATAGATATGTACTGATTATGCAATAATTATGCTTCTGGCCTAACATAGATGTGTACTGATTACACAATAATTCCTTCTCCATACCCAAACCTCAGGAGGCTGAAAAATCAATGAACTAAAGTCTGGACCTGATCATTGGTTATGTAGAATGTATGTAAGATGCCATCCCCGATATCCATGTCTGAGGGGCTGGAACAGAAGTGCATCTGTACCCTGTGGTATCTGTACATGTACCTGACCCACTGTCTCCTGTGATATATATAAGTGATGTACCTGTACCCGACCCATGCTAATCCCACTGTCTCCTGTGAGACATGTAGTGATGTAGTGATGTACATGTATCTGACCCAGCCACCGGCTTGCCTGTCTGAAGCCCGTCACCTGAAATCTGAAGCCTCCCAGTCAGCAGGGTCAGGCTTACCTTGTGGGAAGGGTTTGTTCTGGACAGATGAAGATAACATAATGCCATATGAGACAAGGGAAATCAATATATACATGTACATACATGTAGTACCATAAACAAAATGGAGATCAGAAGCTATATTATCATCTTAGGAAGTTACAAAATAGATCTTAAAGATCATAAATTGCAAATTAATCATTTCCAAGGCAATATTTTTTTAATAAACCACTTTTTAATGGGGATGAGGAGTGAAACAACTCTTACTTTAGACATGGCTAGAACAGTGTCCCCATCAGCAGTCAGCAGATGCCCAGTCTGGGTTTATCTGTAGTTCTCAGGTGGCCGAGCTGCTACAGGGGATTATCCTGTCTACTGTAACCCTGGTACCAAACCTGCACTCATCAATCCTGCGTTATAGTACATACAGTAGGTATGCATCTATGATAGGGCAGACTCAACCCTTGCAGTAAGCACCAAACCTGCTGCAGGCCCACTACTGGGACTTCCCATCAGTCCTGTAGGACAGCTCCATCAATCACAACACTTATAGTCTACAACTTCCTTACAGTAAACCTGGAGGCTTCAGGACCTCAACCTAATCATTCTCAACTCAAGTCACATACTTTAACTTTTTGTTTAATTTAGACTGGGAAAGTCTACAAAATGGTATGAGAAGAAAGTTTCAAATTTTGAAAGTTAGTGTCTATACAATATGCAGATTTGCAAAAACAAGATTAAATCATTTTAGTCTACCCTTTCCTGTTTGTATGTTGTAAAGAAAACAATATATTATGACTGGCAGGTTAGGTGAGGCAATATATCAAAGAACATTAATTTAAAGTTGTATCATTGATCATATAATAACTAATCCCTCATATACTTAACGTTGATGAGCATAACTATGCGGAGGTTATCTTTAAAGGCACTGTAGAAGCTGGAATGTGCACAGCGGATAGGCTCTGCATAGACATGATAAAACCCAACGTGGCCTTGAGCTGTGTTTTCCCGCGTATCGGGAGGCAACAAATGACTCTTAATCTCTACTTATCAGATATGAGGACAATGTCTACACATATCAGACATGGGGCATCCAAGGGGTTAAGGACTTTACAGGGCTCAAAATACCACATGCTTATGAGGGATAGTGTGTGTAAAATTGGTTAGTTGGAGCTGTGCAGGTATTACTGACATCTACAGTACCTGCACCTAACCTGCACTGGTCCATGTAGTAGGTATATGCAGGTTAGTGTGGGTAAAATTGGAGCTGTGCAGATATTTCTGATGTCTACTTGCACTTGTCTGTTGTTAAAAATATGGAACTGAATGCAAGACAGATATTATTGCATAAGTGCAGTTTGACAGGGCCAGGAAACAGAACTGTTTACCACTGTATGCATGAGGTGGCAGCCTGGCAGGTCAGAAAATGGACCTTTTGGCGCTACACAGCTCTAAAAGGGGGCCACATGCCCTTTTCTGTAGAGCGTTATCGGCCGTTCTAATTCTACGTACAGCGTAGACGGACCGCTTTAATTCAACGTAAAGCGTAATTGAGGCATTTTGCGTACAGCGTAATTCACCATTTTACTTTTACGAAATGCACTGTAGACACTTGGAATTTATCATAAAGAGTAATCAAGAGGCTTTCTGAATTCAGCGTAATACGTAGCCAGTTCTCAAAATTTAGCATAGAGCATTGTCGGGACACCCCCCCCCATGCAGGCCCGGCCCCCCTAAAACTAAATAAGTTATTGCAGATTGTATTGGAATAATGTAAAATTGAACATTGTGTTGAATATTTATGACATTTAATAATTTATCTACTAATTTATTGTCATCAAATAGGTGATCACCTCCAGCCCCCCCCCCCCCCAGAAGCTTGTTGGATCATCCTAAAGTTTATTATGACAAGTAAATAAGGACTAAAGGAGGAAGAACCTGTTATTTTGCAGTATCACTGCTTCCCCAATATTCCAAGTATTGAATACCATGAGTGCATACGTGCATACATGTGTATACAGATATACTCGAGTTCTGAACTTGTTAAACGTGTTGACAGACCGGAAGTTGGAAGATGCCATCTGAAGGTCAGCTGGTGTTATGTAGATAAAATTATGACTGCCTATGCGGTACCGTTATACGTTATGTCATCATACAAACTTCTACTGAATCGTTCTGTTCACTATTTCCCTTTGCACGCTCCCAGGGGCTGACAATTACCACTTCTAGCTTCTACGTTGATGAACCTGTAATTTTTAAAACCTTGATTGGGGCTTTTTGTACAGAAATGTCCACGTAGTGCAGATATAGGAAGTTGGTTAGCGGAAGGGTGGGAGGGGGGCGGTCACGAGATGCGAGAGGAAACTACAAACAAACAAACAAGAACCGGTTTTACCGCAAATCCGGCTGCACCAGGCCTGGTAACGGGGCGCTTTCTGCGGAAATGTGGGTTAGACAGAGGTTCTAGTTCCTGTAAGGCAGAGAAAAAGCGGAGATGTTGGAGAAAATCTTACCATTTTGCTGGTGTCGGTCGGAGCTACGTCTGATACTCCCCTTCCTGCGCAGTGACCGACCGGGTTAGGGCCGTACTGCGCATCGGACGATACCATTCTGGGTCTTCAAGCAGATGTGGGGAGGGGCAGTTGCGCGTCACACACTACTGCGTTTCTTACCAATATTTGCCTGGTATTTACAGGAAATGGTTCATAAAACACTTTTTAACCTAAGAATACCTAATGGGGCAGCCTATTACAAACGAATGGAGATTTTGCTGAGGTTTTCTGTCTCCTGAAGACTAATACTTGTCGGTGGTCATGATGAAAACCATTTTTCATCGGTCCCCTGGGTGGTCGTCTTAGACAGGTTTGACTGTATATGATTCTAGGAGACATAACTGACTAACTGACTGATTGATTGACGACAGATGATTGACGTAAGAAAGCGATGACGTATGTCACCAAAGTCACAACCGACAGCTAGTTTTAGACCAGGGCCTGACATGCCACTGTCCTCCCGATGATGATGATAAATACTAAAAGTACCGTGTAATGCATGAGACAAGTGAGTGGCGTGTTGATTGGCAGGACTGTGATTAACGTACAGCGGGAGGGCCGCCGTTAAAGTCACCTCCACGGGTGACAGCAGGGGGACAGCAGGGTGACAGCAGGGCCGGGGTGACTGACAGCTCAGTCAGACACAGGCTGACAGGCGAGACACCGGGAGACTCTGGGAGCTACACTCTAAGCAGAAGTTTACGCTTCGGATCAGTTTTGACGTATATAACGTGTTACTCAGGGCGCATGTATGGCCATGTATTTCTAGGCGTTTTACCAGGTTTTCTTTTTTGTACCCGTATGAGTTTTCCCCACCAGCCTACATCCGTGACAATTCGATACTGTCTTGTACGACTTGTAGCCACGCAAAGATCTGCTTGGAGATTAGCTGCATGTTACCTTCGCCAAGAAGATTATGTTTTCGGTAAACCGAAGTCTAAACCTCCATTTGTAGAGCTATAGAGTACTGGTTTTGCCTCCAGTGCATTGTATTATGAACAGTTGCCCTGCCTATAACCAGTTCTGCACCCCGCGAAGCACATAATCACCGCATGGTAATCCCGAGTCTTCCCTCCTTTGTCTGCCAGTCGGTATAATTAAACCTATCCACGCTGCTACTGACTGTACTGTGTACACCGGCGGGACAAACAAACAATATTTTCGTTTTAATAACAAAAGTCGACTTAGATTTTTGCCTCGATGATTATACATCTTCCAAAATAGCGACCAATCCGTTTTCCCCTGCGTTTGTCGCTATTAAACATGTACAGATATTCACATCATTAATCCAAGTTTCTAATCAAAGTTACAAGCGACTCGCTTACAAAGTAATTGTTCAACTAGATCAACAAACTCGCTGTCATCATTGTGTCTGTAAATGAGGCCGATTTGGGTGGATGATTTCAAAAGGAACAGGCTTAGCACCCACTCCCCGGCAATTATAGACATTATAGAGCGGTGTTAACAATAATGTGTTCTGAACAGGCAATGATACGGGTATATTAACATGTCAAGTCAATTGCAATGGAAGAAAACCCAATTTTACTATTCAACAAAATACATTCACAATTCCCGCCTTTATTCCTAAGGACACAGCATATAATTAGTTTGTAATGTTAAAGACTTCCATCAAAACTAGATGATCTAAAACAACAACACTGGCAGCAATCCTTTAGATGAGTCCTGCTGTTTGTTTAATGAATCACTGTTATTATGTTACTTGGTTCCGAGATAACCTTCTGTGATTATTACATTACACGACGTAAGTATGATATAGTAAGTATGATAAGGTTGTGCCGTGAATGAGCGAGGTTTTATCACTTTGAATATATAAGTGAGTTAGGCCATGTTGATTTGATTATATGAATGAATTTTCGGCCGTTTCCAAAAAAAAAAAAGTTTTCAACCATGCTGTATATCATGGAATCGTAGAAAGCCAAAATCGAACGAAAAAGACGAAAATGTAAAGAGATGAATTTGAAGACTAGATTATTCGCCATACCATACCCTGTGTCATTTGTTCAACCTTCATGACCACGTAGATTTCAGAGTGAAAGCAACTTTTTTTGCCAAACTTTTTTTATTCGCACGTTCGCATCAGTTTTGGGGTTCCCAGAAGATGTCATCCATATAATCAAGTCAACATGGCCTGAGGTAGACGTAATGTAAAGGAAAGCATGCTGGGGGATTATTGTTGGCCACTAGTACGAGTGACGTCATGACGGGGCTCGAAATAATGATTTTGTTGCCCCACTTTGCCGATAGACTGTCAGCAGTTGTCAAGTGCCAAAGTGAAAATATCCAGGCGACCAAACGTTGGTGATGAAACAGACTACAGGCCTGCCTTGGTAGTTTATCCATGTATTACGTGAAACCAGGTTAATGCAATAAGGATTGACGGAGTAAATGTAGGCCAACATTGATATCATTTATTCTGTGTACGGAGAAGAAATCAATCGTTAGTCAGTTTATTTTATTTTATTTTTATTCACATTAATTTTTTTAGGACTGGGCATTAAGAAATGACTTACTTATGTACGTCTTCTCCTCACACACACACACACACACGTACGCACACGACTAGCTAACACAGACTGACAGACACACACACACACACTAGCTCACACACACACACACACAAACACACATACACACACGCGCGCGCGCGTGCGCGCACACACACACACACACACACACACACATACGCACATGCACATACTAGCTCACACAGACAGACACACAGACACACACGCACACTAGCTCACACAGACAGACACACACACACACACACACACACACACACACACACACACACACACACACACACACACACACACACACACACACACACACAAACACACACACAGACAGACAGACACACACACACACACACACACACTAGCTCACACAGACAGACAGACACACACACACACACACACACCTACGGTTTCTCCGCAATGAAAAATCGCGACATTTGAAAACAATATTCACCCGGTAACTTTTCCCCCCGCAGCCCGTTAGAGTCACGAGGTCCCACTTCAATAAATAGTGATATATCAGCACACACCCCACTACACACGCACCACTATCCACTACAGTAGTGATATACATCCCCCGCTACACACCGATATCCACTACAGCAGTGATATATCAGCACACACCCCACTACACACCGATATCCACTACAGCAGTGATATATCAGCACACACCCCACTACACACCGATATCCACTACAGCAGTGATATATCAGCACACACCCCACTACACACCGATATCCACTACAGCAGTGATATATCAGCACACACCCCACTACACACCGATATCCACTACAGCAGTGATATATCAGCACACACCCCACTACACACCGATATCCACTTCAGCAGTGATATACATCCCCCACTACACACCGATATCCACTACAGCAGTGATATACACACCCCACTACACACCACTAATAACCACTGCCCCGCTCTTATCCGTCAAACCGCGTCCACTCTGCGGCTAATCCGTGCGGCGCTGAAGGCTTAGCCTCTAACAGGCTTCACGGGCAGGCCTGGGGGCGTCGTCTGTTTTGTGCCTTCAGTAGCTTCTAACAGGCTTCAGGGCTAGGGCGGCTGGAAAGACTAGGAACTGGCCAAATAGACAGATAACATGCCTGTTAGAGGCTACTGCAGGCCAAGAACAGGCGAGATATGCCGGCCCGACGCCGACCTGGAGCCTGTTAGAGGCTACTTCATTCCCAGAACAGGCGAGATTTTCCGGCCTTACGCCGGGCTTTGAAAAGACTTCCCTTCGGCAAACAGCCCGATATGTGCTCGGCACCCAAGCGGAAAGCGGGCTACTGTCACACCACAGACCGACTCGGGGGGCGAGGGTCGACTGGGAGGGTTTTTATTATCTTTTATCTTCTTTCTATAGCTTCACCTTGATCCTGGAAACGGTTGTAATAATTATTTCCAATCCACCTGTTACGTTGTTGATCACACAACACGTAACTGAAACAAGGATGGAAGGGTGTTAATATGTTGTGGCAAGACAACGGGCGGCGAACATGAGTAAGAAGTGAGGGAAGGAGAGAGCCGAGGGAGTCGGAATGAAACAGAGAATTGGAGGATCATTGGAGAGGAAAGAGTTCCTAGGCACCCAGTATGATGCGTCATACTGACGTAGAGCAGATCTATTGCTATGTACTAGTACAGTCATGCTATGATAAATCGCCATCCACCGTAAGGGAAGGTTTAATAAGTTGGGAAATCAAAGGTATGCGTCAAAATGTAGTCTCCTATATAGTACTCGGTGTGTTTGTTTACTGCACTGGATAACACGGCAAATCTCCAACGACACGAGGACCGAGAGTGGCCTGGTTGTGAGCGTCGGGGGGGAAAACCCGAGTTCAGGTGTCGCGTTAACCCCCTTCCAGCCTCCGCTTCCAAGTACTTGAGCAGGCTGTGTGCGGGAGAAGGTTGTGGCTACAGCGCGTCAACAACAAAAGGCGCGGGAAGCAGATACTGCAGAACTCTCCCCGCCCCGCCGTGTGCCGTGCCGAGCTGAGCTGTGTACGGGAAGCGGACCCCTTTCCCCGCTCTGTCCACCTGCCCACGCCCCGGCTGTAACGTGGTTCACCCCGCCGTTAGAGCCCAGAGAACCCTGAAGCCAGCGCGCGAGCCCAGGAAAGGCGACGGGACGAGACGGAGGGCTGAAGACGCGAGTGACGTCTCCTGGCCCGCTCACGCCCCAGGACGGGCTTTGAACTCCCGACCCTTGGTACGGCAAGGTCTGAAGTCCGGCCCAACGCCGCCCTTCCCGTGTTTGCTTTCGCCGCGACTCAACTCAAGTCGCCAGGTTTGTTTTTGGTCATTTTCACCAGGAGGAAGCGAAGTGAGGGCCGCGCAGCAGCACGCGTTACGTGAAACGTGAACCCGGGACTGTACTGCAGTACCGAGGATATCGTGGCTGGGTACAGTACAGTACTGAGGAGACGACTTGGGTCTGTGTACTGCTGTGTACTGCAGTACAGTACAGTACAGTACTGAGGATAGGAATAGGTGGCAGTGTACTGCAGAAGTCAACAGCGTGGATTTCTTGTTTGTGTACTCTTCAGGGCAGGTTGTTCTGTCGGACCGCGCGGCTAGGCCCCTGTAGCTGTGCGGCAAACAGGTTACCGCCCCCGGGAGCGATCACCGCGTTCTCAGCCCGGGTCCTGCCGCACGGGTCGCTTTGATCGGAACTCGCCGCTGAGCCGTGGTTTGTGTTTGTTTGCAGAGCTTCAGCATGGAGTACGCGGGGAGACCGGCGGTCCTGTGCGCAGCGCTGCTGTTCCTGCTGCTGGCCGCCGACATCGCAGGGGCAGACCGCGACTTCATCATCGTCAAGCGCTTCCACGGAAAGGTGAGCAGTTTTTTTTTTTTACTGCTGAACATGATGTTTAATGTGAAACTCGCCACGGAAAGGTGAGCAGGTTGTCTTGTTTACTGAACACCATGTTCATTTTTATTACCTTCGCCAAGAAGGTTATGTTTTCAATAGCGTTTGTCCGTCTGTCTGTCTGTTTGTCTGTGAACAGCATAAGGTTTATATATATTGTCATGAAACTGGACTTGGTAGGTAAGCAGGTTGTCTTTTTTTTACTGCTGAACATCATGTTTAATGTGAAACTCGCCACAGAAAGGTAAGGAGATTGTTCTGTTTGCTGAATATGATATTCAACGTGAAACTCGCCAAAGAAAAAAAGAGTCTGGTTCTGTTTTTATTCAGAGGAACAGAAAATATTACAGATAAAGGGACGAAAACAAAGTGGCGGCGGCTCGATTTGAACTCAGCGTAAGTTAGTATATAATTTCTCGCTGCTTGTACATCATGCAAAATGAAAATATTTGACAAGACACTTAAAGTAATAAACTTATGAATAATAGATTAATAGATGCATAACAGATACCTGGTTTGAACATGAGAGTGAACTCCCCTCCCAGAAGAAAAGGAAGGGAAATGACACACATACATATGTGTGTGTACCTTCCTAAACACGTTTTGTTGCTGTGAGGAAGTCTCGTGTGGCTAACATGTTTTTTTTTTGGGGGGGGGTCTAGTTCTACCAGCGCCTAACCGGTTTTCCTTCTGAAATACGGAGAACATAATCTACTTAAGACTACCAAAGGCATGTAATTGTGCGTGTGTAGAAACGGCAAGACCGCATAATACACTATTGTGTCATAATTATCTTCTTTCTACCGGAGTTCAACACTAACAGCATTATAACGCCGCATTACGGGGCGTGTTTTTGTCGGCTTTTGTGAGTTCCGCTCGGGAGGGACCCACAGCGGCTCGGCTCACGGCATGCACGGCGTCACGTTCTTACACAGGAACTCGGCGGTCGGGATGGGTTGGGGGGGGGGGGCGCATGCCCTTTTTGGTAAGTCGTAATCAGACCTTTTTAGTCGTAACGCGTAGGCAGCCTCTCCCAAAAATCAACGTAATTCGTAATAGTACATTAGCCGCAAAGTGTCAAGTCGTCATCACTCGCCTAACCACTGCTGTGCCTGCCGTACAGACAGGAGTAAGCCAGTCAGGTGATCCCAGGTATCTAACCACTCCTGTACCTGCCGAAGTCTTTGATGTTCCGCCCTGTCAGGACAACCTTTACCTTTACACCTGTCCCCAGACGCGAGTTAATCCGCCCGACGTCGGCGCCGCTTTACAAGCCGGCTTCGCTACGGGGGGAGTTGGAGAGCAGCCAAGGAAGATACGGAGTTACATGGCTTAGTAGTAAGTAGCTTTTGGTGTGACGCGCAAGGGATGAAACATCGCAAATACTGTTCTAACTCCCGAATGGTACAACCTTTAACTTTTCCAGTCTAAAGTAAGCAAACATCTATCCTGACAGTCCAGTGCTGTAACACAACCATGTGAGTGGTTCGTATGAGCCTCACGTTGTTATGTGGAGAAAATTGAAGGAAATGAAAATAACGAAGGCGGACAAGGAAAAGACATGTCACTGTTTAACCTAATGACCTATTTTCGATTCACCTGTTAGCTCGGATTAGTTCTATTTGTTTTGCTTTTCTTTTTCGAAAATCAGGAAAACAACTTTTATCACGTGTAAGCCGTGTTGGAGACATGTTGAGGATAATGCACCGCCGGAATATCCATGCGGTTTGAACCGCCGCCGTTCGCAGGGAGACTGGCCCCAGTCGAAAGTCCGCGGTACTTACAGATACTCGCCATGGATCGAAATGAGCTACATGTAAATAACTTCTACCAGTTTCCGTGCCTTGGCTTTACGCTGTGTTTACGGCTTGTGCAGGGAAACAGCCTGTAGTCGGAAGCATGTCCGCGGTACTTACCGATATGCCTCATTGATCGAAATACTCTACACATATCCTCTACCCGTTCCCGTGCCTTGGTTATATGTCGTGTTTACGGCTCAGGGAAACTGCCTGTAGTGGGAAGTATGTCTGTGGTAAGGTCTACATGTAACTTCTATCACTAGTACCAGTTTCCGTACCTTGGCTGTGTGATGTGTTCACGGCTTGTGCAGGGAAACAGCTTCCAGTCAGAAGTATGTCCGTGGTACTGTAATACCGATTGCGGAGAGGATGTAGGACTCGGGAGCTGTAATAGGTTTGGTAACCAGGCTATACTCCTCATGGATCCAAATGACTATCTATTCTACATGTAACCTCTACCAGTTCCCGTTAGCTGTACGCTGTGTTCACGGCTCGTGCAGGGAAACTGCTTCCAGTCAGAAGTATGTCAGCGGTGCTTACCGATACTCTCATTGATGTGTCTGACAGTCCGACCTCCCGGTGCCCCCTGAACCCCCCCC